CCACAGGCAGTCACCCATTTTGAGGAACTGGTAGGCATGGCTGAGGCCCTGCTCAAAGGGGGAGTAACCACATCTGCATCCAGTATTCATTCACACACTGTCTGGAAAGCATCAAACAGTTCCTTATCAGATTCATATGCAACTATCCACAGTAACTCCAATTCACCGATAGCATTAAACGTGGAGGAAGAGGAGCAACAGACTGAGAAACAGGTTAGCCGAAAGTTTAATTGAGCAGTAAGAGTTGCTATATTGCAACATTCATTGAAGCCATGTAAAGAACAAAAGTAAACCTCAGTAATGATAATTTTATCATCAGATGATAATTAGAAAAGGTTAGGAATTTATTAATAAATAACCCTTATCTTTTTGCGTGTGAGGGGTGCCATAGACTCAGTGAACCACAGTGAGCCCTCAGGTATAATCCTGACTTCAGTAGATTTTTAGATATGTGGACGAGGACAGAGCATGGTCTAATATGAAATGCTTTTTAATTCACAGAATAAATGCTATGATTAGGTGTGTATGGGGACTTTGTTGACTTCAAACAGCTGAAGGGAAAATATGGCCTTAAAGTTATGAAAAAGGTCTCTCTTAAAAAAAATAGATAAAAGTGTCTTCCTGCTTATGTAAAAGCAGGGGTGGGGAACCTATTTAGGATCAGGGGTCACTGACCCCTCATAAAAATCAGTCAGAGGCTCTACAACAAGTGAATAGCAAAAAGAAAAAAACTCTCACTAATATGGCCCCCGACTGAAGAGAAAGATATTCCCCACATTCCTCTTTCACTACAGAACCTTGGGGGGCCTTGGCTAGTAGATTTTGTGTGCTCCAGCCCCGGGGGATGGCAGGGGAACTGGAGCACCACCACAGGCTCCCCTATGCTGTGGGGGAGCCCAAACCTCAGGGGTCAGATGCAGGAAACCCAGAGGCTCACTCTGGCTCTCAGGCCTTAGGTTCCCCACCTCTGTATTAAAGAGAGAGGCCAGAAGTTAATTGGAGTTATTTTGATCTTGGATGGAGCAACCTGGGTCCCAGGTGTTCCTTTATAGTAATAGACCATTATCAGGAGATCACAGACATAGAATCTGTACAGGAAAATTATTAATTTAAAGATGTAATTAAAGAATAACTCCAGTAGTTTCTGAATTAATAAATTACATAAGTTTTTCAATATATTCAGTCATGCCAGTTGTATGGACTGTATTTCACATGGCCTCAAATCAGTGAAAATCCATTAAAAACTGTTAAGCAATGATGATTTTATTACGTATGACAACTGTTATGTATAAAACCTACCCTGACTTCTCCAAAGAAACATACAGGTGTCAGGCTCAAAACGGCAGCACCCCAGCCGATCCCGGGCTCCACGTGGCACTGCTACTTTGAAATGTTGCATGTAGCCTGTGGACACCCCAGCTGGCCCTGGGCTACATGTGGTGTTTCAAAGTGGCAGCGCCGCATGGAGCCCAGGGTCTAGCTCCAGGCAGCACTGCCGCTTTGAAGTATCCCCTCATCTTCCCTCTCCCCCCTTGTTGCCTCTTTCTGATAGAGGCAGAAAGGGTATGGGAGTGGGAGGGGGAGCAACTAGTCAACTAGTCTGTTGACTATCCAATAAGCATTTGCTTATTGCATAGTTGACTACTCCTTCACATCCCTATTGGAAACCCAAGTTTGGGGAAGCCCAAGTACTCTGATTCTAAACGCAAAAAGCAGTTGCATTAGATATCTAATAATCTGGGTCCAAATTTTGGAGCTCTTATTGCCATCATGTAAGAATTTAAGGCAAATAGTTCCATTGAATCTAATGAGTCTGCGTCTGAAAATGTTAAAATATGGGAAAAAAAATCTTTTTAGAAAAGCATGATTACATTTGATTGTATTTTGTGAAGATTGGTACAGTCATGTCTATGACCTTTTTGTTTTTCAGTTCAAGATTGAAAAATGGCAGATTGCCCTTTGTAACAAGAGCAAGCCTCAAAAGTTTATAAATGATTTGATGCAAGCCCTTTATACACACGAATACATGGCCACCCATAGTCTGACAGGTGCAAAATCCTCCTCTTCTAAGGATAAAGCAGCAAAACCAGCAATGAATCAGAATGAAGTTCAGGAAATCATAGGTGATGACTGGTTTATATTACTTGTTATAGCACTGTGTCTTATTTTCCATCACACTTTCAACTACCATATTGCTTTGTATTTATTTTGGTTTTTCACATTTGTTATGTCATTACTGTTAAAAACGTAGAATCAGTAAAAAGCAAAATTATTTTTGTTCCTTTTATGTGGATTTTGGATTATTAATATTTATTATTAAATGTTTATATAGCACTATAATATTGCATGGTGCTTTTACAGAGACTAAAACACACCTAAATATAGAATGAAGATAATGGACAAAGGAAAGGGTAGGCATGACAACCTGGCATAAGATCATGAATTCTGGAACAAGCGTATAAAGTCTGACCTTGAATAGAGAAATAGCAAGAAAGAAGATGATTACAAGCAGCTCAGAAATAAAGGACAAATTATAGTTAAAGAGGCCAGGTGTTAAAGGAAGATTTTTGTTAGATGAGGGGAAACATATGCCTGAATGCAGCTGAGAAGGAGTCAAAATAGTGAGAGGAACTTATGATAAGAGACAGAGAGGGAATAAGGAGTGGGCCCAGTGCTTTTGATGTGTGACACATACATAAGGACAAGCTGGATAGGGACAAGCTGGTAAAACAGAGTTTCAGGAACATAGAAGCTAAAAAACTTCATAGTAGGACAATCAGTTAAAAGACAGCAAAATCAAAGTAAGAGGTCAGGATCAGGAGAGAGACAGGGGAAGAGCAAGTGGAAAGCTCCTGCTGGGTCTTGCTGTAAATTTGATAGCTCACGAGCGGATAGAGCAGAAGAAACACAAATATAAGAGGAAGAAGTAACTAAAGACAAAGATGGTGCAGAGTTGTCATGAGAGTGGATAAGAAGGTAGGATTAGGATTAATTGGCCAAGAAAAAAAACAGAGATAAAAGAGGAAAAGCAGAGTATATATAAGGAGTATATAATGCAAGTTATCAAGATCATGGGATTTCCTTCCGAGTTGCCCAACAAAGAAAGAGCAGAACTGGTGTTATGGAAGGAGAAAACCAGACTGGAGATGGAGGCAGGCACAGCAGTAGGTGCGGGCGAGCAAAGAGGTCAACTACAAAAAAGAGTAGAATAAGTCTCTTTTTGGTATTTTAAATTTTATAAGCCCAGTTGATGCAATTTGGATCAGACCAATGAGGGACAATATGTAACACTTTAATCTGGAACAAGAGCTCATAAATGTTATCTCGTTATTTTGCAGGAATCACAAAACAGTTATTTCCAAATACAGATGATGCTTTAATTAGGAGAATGATGGGTCAAAAGCTAAACAATTGTACCAAGAAGCCAATTTTAAGCAAAGATCTTAATTTTCAGAAGCATAGCTTTTGGTAAGTCTTTAACAAAAAAACAAAAACAAAAAAAGCTTGCGTCCCAAATGTATTTCAATATGTGTGTCTGTCACTGCAGTAACAGGAACTAAAGTAATTTCAAAATTATCTTTCATATATATATTCCGATCTCTGCAGTTGCCCAATTTAGAGATCCTTTCACATCCTTGTATAAATGTTACAAAAAAGAAGAGTGTTCCTTATTTACATAGTAGCACTACAAGCAGCTCATTCTAGACAGATTACACAGGGCAAATAAGTTAAGAGTAGAGAAGGAAAAGAGTTAACATCCTCAAAGTCAATAACACACTAATTTGATCAATACACTTGTTACAAGTTCTATCGTATTTAGTCTTCCTATTACAAGACCAACTGGATCCGTGGCTTAGGAGTAAGGGGAGAGCTGTGAGGACAGCTGCTCACCATGGCATCATCACATTCTATACACATGGAGTTAATTAGGAATAGTTAATCTGTTTTAAATTCACTCTCTCCTTTGTTTGGGATTGTCACATGTAGATTAGCCCTTTGTTACTTGTATTACACACCATCCATCAGTTTACCATAATATCCTGTCTTGTTTCATGAAAGCAGCAATAGCCTCAAACAATGTTGTATGACGATCTGAAAATTGGAAAATGCATTTTTCAAAAATCCACACAGGTTATAATATAAATGCTATATTTGTTAAAGCAAAGAAAAGGAGACACACTTGGTCTTCATTGTGAGTACTGAATGCTCATCGATTTTAATGCTAGAAGAGACCTAGTATGATCTCCTGGATGTCACAGGTCACCAACACCACCCAGCACCCACACACTAAACCCAAGAACTGAAAATATACTAAAGTATTACAGCCCACAAGAGACTAATCTATCCCACTCCACGGGCAGAGAATAGTAGGAACCAAAGATCACCAATGCCCGAGGCCCCTGTAATGACAAGGAAATGATTCTTTTATATCCATCTTTTTTTTTTCTGGCCTGATGATCCACAAAGTTTGCTGCTTTTTTGCTTCCTTCAGTGTGGTAAAGATACAAGTATTACTGAAACAATGGCAGATGGAGCTAGATATATTACTCATAATTTTCTCATTTGATTTTTAATAATTAAAAGAGAAGGTATTTGGCAGTAAGTATTTTTAAACACGTGTTGATGTCCAAACCAGTGCTCATTGAAACCAATGGAAAATGTTTTCCTTAATTCAATGGATGCTTATTCAAACATATATGAGCCAGGTACTCTTATTTATTTTATTAACAAAAAGAGTATTATATAGTTAAATATCATAGTGTCTTTATACTGTAGACAATTTTTCCTTTAAAAATACTTAGTAATAATACCCCAGATGAATTGGGCCATACACAAAATGAAAGATAACAATGTCATTTTTTAAAATTCTTTAATCACTCATTCCTAATGTTTTGTGGCTCTAGAAAGTCTGTATCAACAACTGCTCTAAAAGTACTTTCAACATCTGTATGGTCAAACACAAGTCCATACTGAGTCAGTTACAACAATGGAGGAAGAAGCTATAAATAAAAAGGCAGTGCTAGCTTAGGTATCCTCTAAGAACTAAAGCTTGGATTCCAGTTTCCAGTATATTATATTTGGGAAGGAGGGACAAGATGAACCTCTGAATTCTTATATTATATATAGGCCATTATTGCCTCCAATATAAAATTTGCTTACCACCCAAAGGGCAAAAATATCTCCAAGTAAATTATTTTCAGAATGATCAACTGTACTTCAGAATTAGAAAAGAAATATTTAAAAGTCCTCCATATTGCTGTAGCTCAAAAACAAAGTGCTGGGAAGAGAGGCCAAGAAAAATAATGAAGATAAGGTAATGTTGCAGTAACAGTTCATGCACAGATCAAAAACTAATTAATTCTGGTGGCACTACATGGAGCAAATTAAAACACACGCACATCAAATCAAGGCCACAACTCAGATCTGCAAGTGCTTCACTGCTGGGTCTAATGCATCAGGCTGAGGAGAGACCAAAGGGAAAAAACAACACTGCCAAGGAAGGAAATTAGCTAATGTTAAACATACTCTATACTCAGAAATTAAGAGCAGTAGGAGTCTCTAAACTATTGTCAATAACCCTAGTTTAGATATGAATTGTCTCAACAGTGGTTCACCAGCTCCTCCCAGTACTCAGGGCACCATCCCATTGGCTTCTGTTTCCAGTGCACAAGATCAACAGAAGGA